TGATTGGTTTGCTGGAAATGTTTCATTGTGAAACTAGGCTACATCATCAGTGCTAGTAAAAAGTGGGGTTTGCTCTCATTTTATATATTAGTGGTTTCTCGTTTAGTGTTGAGGCAAGTGGTCTTGGTGGTTCCCTATGAGGGTGTTGTTTATTGTTACCTTGTTTGTCTGAATTGATGGTTATTTGATTTGGGTATTGTTTGCTTCTTGATTGTTGGTTTATAAATAGACCAATCAAGGAACCACCAAGACCACTTGCCTCAACACTAAACGAGAAACCACTAATATATAAAATGAGAGCAAACCCCACTTTTTACTAGCACTGATGATGTAGCCTAGTTTCACAATGAAACATTTCCAGCAAACCAATCAAGACAGAAAGCACTAAGGACCCCGCAGTTCAACCATGAGCTACAACTATTCTCTTCTGTTCATCTTCCCAAAGTGTTGGCTATTTTCCCCAACTTGGTGTCATCTGCAAATTTGATGAATTCATCTTCTATAAATTTTTAGTTTTATGTTCAAGTTAAAAAAGATGGTTACATAGCTGGCTTTCACATCTTTTTGGGAGGATTCATTACTATAAAGAGGCTAATACTTATGTTTAGAGATAATTCTATTCAAGAAGATGCATGAACATAACATTAAAAACTTTGTAAGTGCTGGGAACTAAGTACTTAGTGTCTTTTATTTAAAAAGAACTCATATCTGTAAATATGTGGCAATATTTATTCAACTTCCTGGGCTTGTTACTATTTTTAGAGTACTACTTTGTTGTCTCACAATAGTGCCTGAAAATGACAACAAAACGGAACTTGTTTGTGCGATTCGTCCCATGCCGTTGCTTGCGTGGAGAAGAAGAAACTGTGACTGTACTTGATTACTCGCACTGCAGCCTGGAGCAGGTTCCTAAGGAAATCTTTACTTTTGAAAAGACATTGGAAGAACTCTATTTAGATGCTAATCAAATTGAAGAACTTCCAAAGGTATGTTGCATCCTCATATGGCATTTCTTTATGTAAGTGAATAACAGTGAATCCTCACACAAATGCTTTGTGTACAAAGCTAGGTAGAGTACATTTTCTAGTAGTTGTATAATGTTTGTATGTCAGGACAGAAATATTAATATGACAAATCAAGGTTGACATATCAATATTTATATAAGGTTCTGTACATGCATGTCACCTTTGTTGAAATCAACCATAGTTGCTTGCTTATTGATTATTGTTCTAGCATTTGTGAGTGGCCGGCAAAATAGATTTTGTGGAGAAGAAAATAATTTATAGTATTCTAGGCTAATAGAGTGTTTCCATTTTCAGAAGAATCAGTTTTAAAAATAATACTAAATGACTTCCTTAAACATGGATTGTTGGTAAGTTTAGAATCCAAGCAATATGTTTTGTACATTCCTAGGTGAAGCAGTGGAATTACTGTTGCTCTCCAGAGCTTCAGATAAATCCTTTCCAGTGACTTCCTGTAGATGCTAAATAATAAAGGTCAAATTAAGTGGTTTTATTGAATAGTGTTCTATTTTTCAAACACAGCACAGTAGAATAGAACATAACCTTTGTAACTTATTGATCTCAACTCTGCCTTAGGAGGGAACACTTGTTAATGTGAAGAAAGTACCATCGTTAAAACATTAAAGCAGATTATATGCTGATAGGCATGCATAGCGTCTCTGAAGACTGTTGTTCATTTTCTGCATAATATTTTCATGGCTTTGATCAGTAAAGTGAAGCATTGCATACATGCACAAACATACCCAGGAATAGCCTTTTGAGGCAGCCAAGCGGGCGTTCCAACATTTCTCCTAGCCGCTGCTTGGAGTGTCCAAGCATGGGTTAACTTCAGCTTGCTGCCCAAGGACTGAGTTAAAAGTTTGTGTAGCCACGCCTCCTGCTCCCTTTAGAGGCCCAGTTTAAAAAACTCAGTCACCCTAAAAGGATGCAGTTGGGGAGATCCAGTTCTTGGACAACAAGTTGGACTCTCCAAACAGTCTAGTGTAGCCTAATTTTTTATTTTTCTTGTCAGTGGATAGTTTAGGAAGCATTAGGGTTTTATTATTTTTTCCTACAAGTGAAAACTTTCTCNACTTCAGCCCAGAGTAGGGAGAAGCATAAGAAAAGGGATTCAGAATAACTCTACCTCCATTACATTAGATAAGAGTTGAGTGGGAGAATTTAACAGGCTTCCAAGGTTCTGCTACATTAACTTACTGGCAATAAAAATCTTTCCAGAAATTTATGTGGCTTTTGTTTTCAGACTGCCTAAAAGAGCCTGACACGTGCTACTACACATTAAAAGTGTGAGAGAAATAAAATCATTTTATTTTGTATAAGTAGCGCTCAACTTACGATCACAATGGAGCCTGGAATTTTGGCTGTATGTCATTGCATTTGTAAGTCAAGGCAACATGTGATTGGACTTATTTTATGACTGTCATAAAGCGAGAAACTAGTCATTAAGTGAATCCATTTCTCTGGGCATTTTTTGCCAGAAATTGACAGAAAATATTGGAAACTGACAAATGGACAATGCAATTGGTTGCAAAAGCTTGCAAATACCTGAAACACAATCATATAACCCTGTGTGTGTGTGTGTGTATGTGTATGTGTGTGCATGCGCGTACCCTGTCACTCTGAGGAAGGAGCTTTTTAAAATTACAACATAATTGAAAGGTTGTTCAACCACTAGTCATAAGTTGAGGACTACCTACATATTGGCTTCATGGCTGCAAGAAACTGATTTGATTTGATGGAATAATTCAGGGATGTCAAATTAAGGCCCGCGGGTTGAATCTGGCCCACAGGGTGATTAGATCTGGCCGTGTGGTTGCCCAGGAAACAGCGAAGGACTGACCTGCGGTGCCTCTGCCAACAAAAACTCCATTTTCGCTGGCAGAGGGCTGCATGATCTTGAGCTGGCCACACCCATCCCAGCCATTGCCATCCCAACCGTGCCCATTCGGCCCCCCCTCTGAGGTCAAACGCAACCCTGATGCAGACCTCAATGAAATCGAGTTTGAATAATTGAATGACATTCAGTAGATAGTGTATTAAATGGAACAGTAAATTAAATTTAGAATCAAAGTGCTTAGAAAGAGTATCTTTATTGACATGAAAGGAAAATGCTATTCATTTCATAGGCAAAAGGTTTGACAAGAGCTAGGTGCCTTTCGCTGTAAAAGTGCTATAGAATTGATCTATGCAATAAAATAAATAAATAAAAGTGGGATGCCCTCTGCCCAAAGGCTTCTAGGCAATCCAGTGAAGCAGAATATTTAAGTGCCATGTTCAGGAAGTAGATACAATTATCAGCTAGTGGCCTTTGCCAGGAACATGAAGTTAAAGGCCTGGCTTGTGAGAAAAGCTGCCAGATACCACAATACACTCCTGTCTGCCTGGGCCAAGTAGTGATTTCCCTCCCTCCCAACTTTTAATTAGAGGCAGAGCAGCTATTCTAATTACAGATTTCAAGACACAATAGATAATATATTAAAAAAGGGTTTTATATCTTATGGGGATCATCTTGAGTGGAAGGAGGTTCCATTGGTGAATTTATATTCAAGTGTAAAGTTTGGTTAAAATGATGCTAATTATAAAACAAATGGAGTCCAACTTTTTTTAAAGAAAAGCAGAAGGGAAGTAGTTATGGGATACTCAGGAAATTAAATTTGAATGCTATGAGTAAGCAGTGACTTTGGAAGCATTTTAAAAATAATAATGCAGAAGGATATGAAGGGCCTCCGGATGTATTTTGAAGGAAGATCTCTAAATAACTGTTCTGCAGTTGGTTGCAAGGGAAAAACAAAAACCCTCATCTGTTGCCAACTAGCTTTGAATCTAGGAATTTGGTGTGCAACCTTACATGTGTCTTATTATAGTATACGTAGTCAATAACATTTACTTTTCGGGCACTGTAAAACAAGCTGCAGTGTTCTCAGAACTACATTTTTGTATGATACTAAATCTATAACATTTTATTTTGAAAATTTAAAAATGATGCTACCAGCAATTTTTGGAAACATTCTGGGTTTTGGTGGTGGTGAATGTTTATAATAGATTATAAAAATCTATTCCATGTCAAACCAGTTATTTAGAGTACTGATTAAAAGTTTGTGAAATTTCAATATTTCTGCTTAAACATTACCCTAAAACCAGTCCCGATTTAACAAATGGGTAAAAAACATTATAATTGTTCATTTATTGAGAAAACGATCCTAAGCTAAATATTTTTGTGTGGCAAATGAATTTAAGCCTCTAGGCTTATCAGTTGATTTGAAGGGGAAATTAAAGTCATGTGTTCAATCACTGGTATGATAATGTAGAAGGTCCTGCTTTATAAAAAACAATAGAATTTTGGCTATTCATCTTCAAAGTCTCATCTTAAAAACACGACGTGGAAGTGTATCAGAGCTGAAAGGATATTTCAGAGGTTCTCCAACAAAAATTATTGATGTTTCACGATTTGGGAAATGTTACAAAACTTATTTCCAAAAAGTTTGGACTCCAGGAATAACTTTCAGGCTGTTTGTATAGATCCCACCAATGAAAGGAACTGAAAGCTTCTCTTGCATTTTTATGTATGTATAAAGTTTATATGGCCACCCATCTCATAAGAAGTGACTGAGTGGTGTTTGGCAATTAAATAAAACAAACACATAAACAATTATTAATAAAATGAGAGTGTCTTTATTAAAATACAAACCACTAGGTCAGTGATGGGATACGACTGGTACGCCCCGGTACGGGCGTACTGGTGCCTCCGGAGGGCCCACCTGCCCGCCGGCTTTCCTTACCTGTATTTGAGCCGATTGAGGCTTACGCACATGGAACGTACAGAGCCTGCATGATGCTCCGCCGAGCAGCTGGTGCATCACGGAGCATCGTGGGCGGTAAGTACACAAGCGCACACTGTGTGGGTGCTGCGCACGTGCATATGGTGGACTCCTGGCCCCGTTGCATTGTACCAATTGCACTGGGATCCGGAACCCACCACTGCACTAGGTACAGGAGAGAATAAATTAAGTACAATGAAGGAGCTATCTTCGAATGTCCCTCTTCTTCTGGGATCCCAAGCCAAATGACATCACCAGAGTTTAACGGACTTACAGAACGTTAACAGGGACGAGACTTAACCTTACTTTGTGAAGTAAAGTGTTTCAGGAGGTAGGTTATACACGGTAGAAAAAGTCCACCACCTGGGACCAGCCAACTAAAGTCCCTAGCAGATGGGACTCAAA